TGGAGCATCTCTGGGAGCAGGAAAGGCTGAGGGAGCTGGGGCTGTTCAGCCTCCAGAGCACACACTGAGAGGGGACCTCCCCCAGGTCTGTGGGGTCTGCAGGGAGGGGGCAGAGGATGGACCAGGCTCTGCTCGGGGGGGCCCAGCAATGGCACAAGAGGAACGGGCAGGAACTGATGCCCAGCAAGTTCCACCTGCACAGGAGGAAGAACTTCTTTGCTGGGCAGTGACCCAGCACTGGACAGATCACACAGAGAGGGTGTGGAGTCTCCCTCAATGGGGATATTCCAGAACCCACCTGGACACAATCCTGTGCCATGTGCTCTGGGATGACCCTGCTGGAGCAGGGATGTGGGGCCAGATGACCCCACTGTGTTCCCTTCCAACCTGTCCCATCCTGTGTGGAGGCAGCTCCTTCTGCTGGAAGGGAGGTTTGTTGAGAGCAACCACTGCTGCTGTGCTTAAATCAGGAACTCAACACAATTAAGGATATCTTGTTGCTGTCTGACAAAGGTCAAACAAGAACATGCATTCCTGTCCATCAAAACTATCCCTGCTATCAAAGGAACCTTCAGAGGCTGAATTTCCCTGGATGCTGCACAGTGACAGCAGGGCCATACACATCTTCAAAGAGGGACAGTGCTGATTGCCATGGTCATTAGTTTTATTTTCTTCACTTTCAGCCTAGCCCAGAGGCGGACCCAAAGTTCATTTTCCGCTGCAATGCACGAACAAAGCTCGACCCACAGCGGTGTCTCACCCTGTGAATCAAACTCTGACAACGGCCAAGCATCTTTATTTGTTGTCTGGGCCAGTTTTCAGCGGCTTTTCGTGATCTGTAAACAAGAGCAAGGACAGCAACCAGCCTAATTTGCCTTTGCAAACATTGTGGTAGCATGACTTTCTTGCCTTTTTCTTTCTTTTCGACAAGATGAAAGGGCTTTTTGTTTCTCCACCCTCCCCCCCTTGTCAACAAGAGGGAAACAAGAGGGAAAAGTTTCCTTTTGACAGGGAAACAAACACTCAAAGAAGATGCTAATAACATCTAAGACATGGACATATTGAAGACTTTCTGGCCAAAAAAAAAAAAAAAAAAAAGGATTTATATTGTGTATGAAGGTTTACAGCACACCCCAATTTCCAGAGGAATAAATCATGTCTGCTTGAGCTCTAACTACACAGGGCTAATAAGGACAAAGAGTTATACAGTTCTGCTTCTTTGATTTAGAATTCAATCTCAGGTTCAAAGTTCTGATTCTGCTTTATTTTTATGCAAGCATGTGGGTTGGGGAGATCAGAGGAATCTATTCCATCTCCCCTGCTGCTCCTGTATTTTATGTAGGTGACAGTTTTTCTGTTATAATTTCATTACAAAAAATAATTGGTATCTATTTGCCCAAGATTAACTGTGCATCTGCCTCTATATTATGCAAAAAATTATGCTACATCCAGAGTCATATATATCTGTGAATTAATGACACAGCCCTTGCTCACTCAAAATCCCCGTTGAGGAAAAAAAGAATTTGCTTTTAAAAAGGCTGCAGGATCAGTAAATCTAAGCTAAACTTGACAACAGGACCATTTTATTTGGGAAGAAATTTTTTACTTGGGAAGGAACTCAAGGCAAATGAGCCCAGCTCATAATGTGCTCAAACAGAAAAAGAGAAAAACAGGCTTGCAATGCTGCCCCAATGGCTGACATAATTTTGCTTGCTTTCCTTTCCTGTTAACTTGAGAATGCAAATTGCTTTGCTGTCAGGGTACATTTGTTCCCACTAATTCAAGATGCTATAACAAGCCAAAATATTTATTTCTTTTTTTTTTTTTCCTTTTCCCCTCCACTCCAATTTGTGTTTTATCATACTGGGAGCATCATCCACGGATTTCATTTACTGGAACATTGTGCAAACAGCCCTGACGGGAAAGTCACCTCCCTGTGATAGGAAAACTATCCATAAAGGAGGCTCTTAATGCTTTAGGATGTGTTGCCTCAAAGGGCCCAAAAATTCTATTTAGACCGACACTTAAAGGCCAAATATCCCAAATAACTGCTCAAATAACCCATTTGGAAAACCCTGGGCTTTTCAGAGGATTCTTCCTGCTTTTCAGTAAATGGGATGGACACCAGAACACATCCTTTTAATTAGAACTGGATGAGCAAACAGAAGCAGAGAGAATATTTGTATAGTTCAATCCCCATCCTGTTCATGAATATCTTCCAACTGATGCTGCCTCGTTTTCAGCTGGGCATATAATAGCACTGATCAAATTGTTTTCCTCTGAAAAATGATAACTGGATTTTGATAATTTCATCATTTGTATGTAAAGCACTTCTGCTTCTATAGGAAATGGGATTTCAGCTAAAAAAAACCCAAACCAATTACTGAAATTTTCCCTGAAAATTCAGTTTTGCCTTTTTCGGGGGCAGGGGGGAAGGGGGAAATCAACATTTCCCAACTAGAATTGTTTGGGCCACTTAAGGGGCTGAAATTGGTTTCTTCCAGCTCCTTTGTTAATGTCTGAAAAAACCCAATGAGTCACCCCCTTAGAGCAGTGGGTACAAGTCCAGATTCACTCCTGACAAGTGCTGAAGTTCAGAGCCTGTTTGCCATCTGCTCCTTCCCCGTGAGCTGCTCCATCCTTGGCCTCTCTGTAGCAACACTCAAACGAGCTCTACACGAGTGGCTTCTGACTTTGGTATCTTAGTTATGAGCCTAAACCTAGGGGGGGATGAATCAGACCACAGAAATTCATGAACAAGTCTTTTTTAATCAGATTATTTCTCTTCGCCTCCCCTGTTCATGGAGCAGCTGCTCATAATACTTCACCTCATCTCCTGGTGTCCTTTTCCCACCCTGGTGTCCTTTTCCCATGTACCTCACCTTGTTTTAGTCTCATTTTGATCTGTTCTGACTTCTATGGAGTCCTCTGGTTTACCACAGTACGTGCTCAGAATCAGGTCTCTGCTTTTAGTAAAGGATTCAAACATACAAACATGAAGAAAACAAACCCACTGAAGCCCTTCCAGTCTTGAAAACACAATCAAAGGATAAGATATGAAACCAAAGCCCTTTGCTACCAGACAACTATCAAATATTTTGGCTCAGTTCTACTCCATATTCTCCATCAAGAAATAAAGTCTGCCCTTACCATTCTCACCAGATGTCTTGTCTTTTCCATTTGTAGCTCCGGTTCCTTGTCTCTGTCAGGGGAGAAAAAAAAAACAAAACAAAACAAGTGGTTAGAACACACATGAACTTGCATTTTCCCCTTGGAATTGCTGGAAGTTACACCTGGATTTCTCCTGTTAATGTTGGATGATCATTCACTCTCACGAAACGCTGCTTTAAACACAACCAGTCAGGACAGGAACGTTTAGTGCCATTTAAAGGTTGGACTTGATGATCTTGGAGGTCTTTTCCAACCTAACAAAGGATTTATATTCTGTGATTCAGGTAGAGCTGCATCACTGTGTGCCCCTGGATATAATTATCCCACGTTAATGATGGGATATGTGTAATGAAGCTTCCAGCAGTGCAAGGGTTTGAGCTACAATCAATCCATCGTCTCATCTCCTCAGCTCCCTTCTGTGCCTCCCTGTCCATGGCTCAGGAGGATTACAGGGATTCTGTGAGGTTTTGCAGGGGGAAAATCCCAAGGGCCAAAAGCCCAAGCAGAAGTTAATTCGGCCAATGCCATAAAAAAGAATGTTCCTATAAATATATCAGCAACAAAGGAAAACCTCCTTCCTTAAGAGATATCCATTTTCTGCTTTGGCCGCAGGAGAAGATGGAACCTCCCACTTCAACTCACTCTCTGTCCAAGGAACAGCCTCCTGAATTTCCATGAAACCAACTGATTTAAGTCACCAGCACCAGTGCAGCCCAAATATTCACAGTGGCAGGGCTGGACTAGTGTGGTTACACTGCCAGGGAACTTCCCAGCTTAGGAATGGTCACCCTGTGAAAATTATTCTGTGCCCCCTAGAAAGCATCTCCCAGGTACTTCAGCATCTTAAGGTACTTTGGCAAATACGGCAAAACTTACATTTCTTACGCAAAATTATTCATATTTGTTTAAAGGAATCGTCCTCAAGGGTTTTACATGTAAAAACCCAGGGGTGTTAAACTCAGGGAGCAAATCCAGCTGCATTCAGCCATCAGAGGCAGAGCACCCTCCTGCATGAGGGAGGTTCAACAGCTACAGCAGCACTGCAAGCCAAATGCTTTGTGCCAGGACATGGACAGTGTCGATTCTCTAGTGAAAATTCACACAGGCACATTTGTCTGGAGTATATATTATATATTTATCTGGTTAAACCCCTCTCTGCTGCTTTGGTTTCTGCCCTTCATCTTCCAAACACGGTGGCGTTTCCAAGGTGCTTTTTGTGTATGGAGACGAACATGGTGCACAAACAAAACCTTCACGAGCCCTTAGCTCTGACACAGAAGGGGGAAAGTGAGTTCTTTCATCCTTTTAGGTGAATATAAGAGCTGCACATGGTTTCCAGTGGTGTCCCATCTCCTTCTCCATGACAGACTTCAGTGCATCTGTCTCGTCTCTGCTGGCTCTGCCTCATCTCTCCCAGAGAACCCAACTCTGAGTCTCAGCCTCCCCCCAAAATGGAAATGCATTATTTGTTCCTCCCTGGAGCCTCAGAGCCCAGGCAGGAGGGAAAACTTCACCAGTAGCAATCAAAGAAGGGGATTCTGAAGGGATAAACATCTTTGACAAAAGCAGTAAGTTACCAACGGCCAGAAATCAATGAATCCACCCAGCAATCGGTTTTGTTGAGGATATTGACCTTTATGACTTTGTTTGGTTAATAGTTCAACTCCAATCAACATTTTAAACTAGATTTTAGTGTTAATTTATTAGGACCTCCTCCCAAAAAAACCCCAAAATACTGGATTTTCCTTTCAATAAAAAGGTACCTATAGTGCTTTTTCCTCCCCGGTCTATTTTTTAGTGCTTTTCCAAGTTGTCTTATTTCCTGAGCATTTGAGGCTGTGCTACTTAGGCTTTATGAAAGCTTCTCTTTCCTCCCCTGGCTATACCTGTCAGGTTCAGTCTGCTATTGATGGAGTGCTGGAATATGGATTCACACATTTATTTCGTGTCTCCAGACTTCCCCTCAGGGAGAGGGGAATATTGTCAAGGAAAATGAATAAAAACTTGGGTTTGGTAAATGAAGGTTTTTCTATTCATGAGGTCACGGTACTTTTCTTTAAGTCTGAAATCAGCTGAAGTATTTTTACAGCCATTTGTTTGATTGGTGACCACTGGACCTCTACAAAAGGAAGCCTGAAAGTCTGCCAAACCAACTTCTGACAGCTTTTCCCTTAGTTCTATGCGTATTTTGATCCATAAACCCTGTGCTGTCTTCCAAGTGACTGCAATGGATCTGAAAGTGAGAATCAGATTCTCATTGACAAGGCACTGAAACTTAGGGAAAAGCCACTTAGAACAGGATCATCCTCCTGCAAAGCCTTAAGCCTTTCATTTCAATACAATCAGTGGACCTTCTTTTCAAAACATTTTCAAGATGTTGGTATTATTGGCAGCTGGAGCTTCTTTGTTCTTTCATCACCTACTGCAGGCTCAGAACAAAGCTGAGCTTTTCAAGGGGCTTCAGAGCACAAGGGGACTAAACATGAGGGGGAGTTACTGCAGGTGTTTTCAAGAGGCAGTGGATGAAAGCCCTCCAAGAGTTGGTGTAAAAGATATTGTCCTCAGATGCAAGAGACCAAATTTAAAACACAGAAATACAAGAATTTACAAGGTATTAGTTTCTGGGGTCTGATGCTTTCACAGGATGGGTCGGGTTGGAAGGGACCACAGTGGGGTCATCTGGTCCAACCTCTTTGCTTGAGCAGGATCATCCCAGAGCACATGGCACAGGATTGTGTCCAGATGGGTCTGGAATATCTCCAGTGGGGAGACTCCACACCCTCTCTGGGTGATCTGTTCAGTGCTGGGTCACTGCCCAGCAAAGAAGTTCTTCCTCCTGCCCAGGTGGAACTTGCTGGGCATCAGTTCCTGCCCGTTCCTCTTGTGCCATTGCTGGGCCCCCCCGAGCAGAGCCTGGTCCATCCTCTGCCCCCTCCCTGCAGACCCCACAGACCTGGGGGAGGTCCCCTCTCAGTGTGTGCTCTGGAGGATGAACAGCCCCAGCTCCCTCAGCCCTTCCTCCTGAGAGAGGATTCCCACTCCCTACAACTTTGAGCAGCTCCCTTCATTCAGAGCTTGCATCTGAAACTCCCCAGCATTTTCTAAGGCGAGCACCAGGACAGAAACGTTGAATAAACTTTCCACCAGGCATCAAAGAAACATCAGAGCTAAAATGAACGCGAGTGCAAACCCGTAACGATTATCCAGTAAAACAGGATCAACAGTTTTGTTGCTGTGTTGCGTAGGAGGAAACACAGTTTATGACTGCTTGGGGCTATATTAATTTTTAACTCAGTGGTTTTACAGAACACCAAAGACACATAATTAAAAATGTCTCCAAAAATCAAAGTTAGTCCCAATTTGTTAGCAGAGGAAGTAAAAAAGACTGCTGCCATATGCTCAAAATCCCAGTAAGAAAGGAACAGGTTCACTTTCCTGTTAAATTCTCAGTGCTACACACAGCACTAGTTAATGTGGGATGAAAAACTGTACTAAATTAGTCCCCCAGGCGTACAAACTGAGGTCAAAAGTGAATTTGCAGCCAGGAGGACATTTCAAGAATAATGTTAAATTACTGCAGCAGCTTCTCCACTCATCCTTCAGCCCCTCCTGCCCCCCCGAGCCTTATTTTTGCCTTTAATCTTACATTCTGTTCTCCTCTTGAAATAGCCTGACCTTTTCATTTATGCTTTTAATTATCACCTCAGTGATAGGGATCGTAGCCAGGTGTTGATTACAGAGTTTCTGGGGGGCAGAAGGGTTGTTTGCTTTACGACAGAGCCACAGAAAGCCCAAGATCGGGGACACGAAGCTGCCAGGAGGTTCTGACAAACGGGCAGCAACAGCAATACCATCATCCCTGCTGCTTCATCTCAGGGCAGGGTCAACGAGGTACAGCGAGCTGGATCCCAGGAAGGCAGTGAAGAAGCATCCAAGGGCGGGATTAAGAGGATTAAAAACAGTGGAAATTTTTTGTAGGGTGGACAGCAGAAGGAGCCAGCATGGACTTGACTCGGGACACGGACACATGAGAAGTTATTAGGATGTTCTGCACTCCCTGGCAGTGAAGTCTGTGCATGTCCTAAGCTTTTCTTAAGCTTTGTTTTCCTACCA